GTAAGAGCAGCAGTCTCAGCAGGAGCAGCCCGCCTGCCTGACCTCTCGCGTCTGGCCCCCAAACCCGTTTTACCTTTAAGATCAGGTCTGTATGGTGCTGGTCCAGCATATTCTCCTGTTGGAAGGAGGTAATGATGACCCGGCCGTAGCGCCCGGGAGTCTGCAGGTCTGAGTAGAGCCGGTGCTTGGAGCGGTTCACTGGAAAGAGACTGTTGACTAGATTCCTCTCAATCTTGGCCAGGCTGTGCTTGGGCGCCAGCAGGTGTTCCACGCTCTCCTCTATCTGGTAGCGGCTGAAGCTAGCCCCCAGGAGGATGGAGATGAGCACGGGGGCGGAGGCGAAGAAGACGGGGTGACTGGCAATGAAGTGGCCGAGCCGGGAGAAAGACGTCCTCAAGCCTCTGTGAAGAACCTGCCGCAGCATCCTAGTGCAGAGGGAGCGCAGGAGGAGGACAAGGCGCACGCACGGCTGTGGCTGTGGTTGTGGCGGTGGAGGTGGTGGCGGTGGTGGCGGCGGGGGTGAGATCTGAACCTCTCTCGGAGCCCGGTCACAACCATCGGGGAGTCCCGAGCAAAACCTCGGGAGAGTCCCCTCCGAGAGGAAACAGACCCTCCTCCCTCCCCCCTCCCCCAGCCAGGCAAAAAATGCGACCCTCCCCCCACACACCCTTCCTGCCTCCGCACCCCCTACTCCACCCTATATCTCCTTCCCCCTCCCCCCCACCTCTTCCCAGCAAAAGGGGTTCGGGGTTGGGCGGTTGCTGCTGCTGCTGCTGCAGCTGCTTCCTTCCTTTTCAGCGCTGTCGGGCCCTGGAGAAGTCCTCCCGGCGCCTCATGATCTAACTTACCAAACCCAAATGCCATCGAAGGGGGATGGAGACAGCGACAGAAGCAGCAGCAGCAGCAGCAGCAGCAGCGGCAACAGCAGCAGCAGCAACAGCTACGGCAATAGCAGTAGCACCAGGGAGACGCTCGCAGGAGAGAACACGAGGGAAAGAGAATTCCAGGCTACACCCAGTCCCCTCCCCTTCCCTCTCCACTCCCCCTCCCCACAGCCCCGCCCCTCTCCACGCCAGTCCCAGTCAGCCCAGGCAAAGGGAGGCAGAAATAAATAAATAAATAAATAAACAAACAAATAAATAAATAAATAAATAAATAAATAAATGAAGGGATCTTGTTTTCAAAACAAAAAAGTAGGAGTTGGATTTGGAGACCTCTGATTTCCTTGAGAGCCGCGGAACGCGAAGGTGGGGGGGAGAGGAGGAGAATGAGAGAGCAAGCTCTACCCCTCCACCTCCCCTCAGGTAGCAGCGAGGAAAGACACGTTTGCAGAAAGGACTGGGGGGTGGGGGGGTAGAACCCCAAATGCCAAACAACCTTTCTAGCAAAAAAAAAAAAAAAGAAAAAGGCAGTTCAACGAACGCTGAGAAGGCTTGGAGGAGAGAAACTCCAGGGTCGGTCTGCCTGTTGTACGTCCAAGGGAGAGCTGGAAGTGCCTCTGTGTGAAGCGTGAGATACCCTCGCACAGACTCAGGCACATAGGCGTACACTCTCAGAGCCCGAGGAAGGGCTAGGGGAGAGGAAAAGGGAAGATCCCTCCGGCCCCTCCCTCTCCTCGGGGGGTCTCCCCCAGTGGTAGGTTGCAAGTCGCCAGCTTCATAGCAAAGCACCCAGTTGGGGAAATTCAAAGCACACGTTTTCCTCTCTCCTCGTTAGTAGCGCAGGGTGGAGGGGCAAGTTCCTCTTTGGTTGCAGTTATTTCTTGGTCAGTTTTAACCTCCTCTACCTACGCCATCCCCCACCCCCAGAAAAAAAAAAAACCCCCTTCCTTCCCCGCTGTGATCCCCCCCCCCCCCCCAACTAAGAGTGATTGATGGCAATAAATTATCAGGCAGCAGCAGCCAGCGGAGCAGCGGATCTTCCGAGCTCTCAGGAGTCCTGGGCTCGCCTCGGAGCCTTTTTCTGTCTGCGGGCAGTCCGGGATCTCAGTGACCTGTATGCCGCCCGGGATCTCAGTGACCTGTATGCCCCAGGGGACGTGGGGAGCAACCCCTTAGCGAGTTTCGGAGCTGTGGAGGGGTCCGCCCACCTGACTGGCAGATGGGACCGTTAGGGTGGTAAGTGACAAAGATGGCTAATCGCAGTAGTAAAGAAGAGAGAAGGAGCACCCCTCCTTCTTTCCCGACTCAGCGTCTGCTCTCCTCCCTCAAATTCACTGTATACGGAGGGAGGGAGGGCACTTGATCGTGACACCCAAGGCAGAAGCTCTGAGAAATAAAGAATGTTCCTTCTTGGAGGAAGGGACTGCCGGAAAGCCTTAAGAGGCACCGACTGCTCCAGAAAGTTTTATATATACATCCATACTTAATGGCTAATTTTTTTTCCTCCCTCTCTCCCACCTCCCTCAATTCACCTCAGCAGAAATCCCAGAGAAGACGCAAGACGGGTGCGGATAGCCCCCAGCAGGTCCTCACGCCTCAGACCCGATCGGCAGCGGAGGCGGCGGCGGCAGTAGCTGAAGGAGCAACAGCACAGAGGTACAATTTTGTGTATTTCATTGGTACCTCAAACCCTTAGCCCTAGTCTATCAGCGCATAAACCTGGTCTCTGAACTGAGCACCCCTAGTCCAAACAACGCCAGCAAAAGAAGATTCAGCAGTGCCTGAGATTCAGATAGGCAATTTCCCCTCCTTCAGGAGCAGCAGCAGCGTGCTAAGGGTAGCCCCTTTCCTAGGGTGCTATGTCCTCTTCCTCCTTTTCCTTCTTCTCCAGTCCTTCCCACTGCTGCTCAGACTCTGGGTGCGCCAAGCCCGGGTCAGTGTTGTGTTCCAAGGAGGTTGTTATCAAGGGGCGACGTCCTTTGACTTTTCCCGACGTTGCTGGGCATGGTCATCCATGTTAATCAGAGCTGAAGGAAGATTGAAAGAGATGGGGAGCAGAGGAAAGGGGTGGTTCGGAAGAGGAGACAGAAGTGATAGAGAAATAGAGAAGACACAAAGAGACAGAGAGACTGAGAGAAAGAAACATACAGAGATACACAGAGAGAATAGGGGGCTGAAGGGATAAGCATGTGTGTGAGAATACTTCTGATTGAACTTAGCTACTTGCCTTTTGAAAGAGGGAAGCAGTGGGAGAGAAAAAATTTCACCCTTTCTTCTATCTCTCTGTACTCTCATCCGGGCTGACACCCTCTACCCTTCCCTTTATTATCCGTGGCAGCTGAGAAAAGCAATCCCTTGACGCTGTCCAGTGCACCCACCCCAGAGAAGTATGTTCTGTCTATCCTCTTCTCCATTCATTTGTGATTTCCACCGTGCCTTTCACTGTTAACACACAGGCACAGACACACACACGCACACACACACACACACACACACACACACACACACACACACACACACTTCACTATCCTCTCCATTTCGGGAAAAGTACCTGAAAATGTTTGGGTCCCATAGCTTCCAATCTCAGCCTCTCCAGATCCAGCTCTGCCTTTCCTTTACTTCCCCTTTCTCCAGAGAAACAATTACAGGGTATCCCAAAAGTCTTTATGTAGTTTTAAGCTTTAATAATACTTAGATTTTCTGACACTATAGAAAGGAGAATATGTCATCTCAAAGTATTTTTATTGATGGAACCCCCTCTTTGATTTCTGTGTACCCCCAATATCTCTTCAAAAAGGCTCTTTGCTGATTCATAATTGTGAAGGGGAAAGGGTGTTGGGTTTTACTCATGCCCCCTGTAAAAGGAGGAGGGAAGAGAGAGAGAGAAAGAGAGGGAGAACGGTTCTGTTCTTGGTCTGTTTTCTAAGCTACTTTAGGAAACCACCCACCTTCAAGCAGCTGAGGAGCTAAAAAGAGATTGGAGATCCCCTGCATTACAGAGAAGCAGATTGAAAGGGCAAAATGGAAAAGAAGGGGAAAAACAGAAAAGGAGCTTTTGTGTTGTGTGTGTGTGTGTGTAGGTGTATATTATATATGTATGTATGTATATATATATAAATATATGTATATCTGTATATTTGCATGAGAGGTTATAAGTGCTTCTTATTTGGGTAAATGGTTGAGGGCTTTTGTATGGACAAGAGAAGAAAGTGTGAAGGCATATAAATGACTTTATAGTTTTGCCAGAGCTCCTCAAAATTTGAATTACTATTATACTAAAGTCTTTGGACTTTAAAATCTGCTCCCTCTCATCCTCTCAATCAAATTTCTGGTTCTTTTAAATCCTGGTTGTGAAATATTCAGCCAAATTGTGGCCCCAATATTACCAAAGGCTCTTAAAGGAAGGGCCCTTCACTTATAAAGAGGCATTTACTTATCTTATACTCCCTTTACTACCCTTACTGTAGATCTGCTAAGGCAGTGGCTTCCAACCTTTATAGAGCAAGTTTCCTCTTTTGCAAAAATAAGGGTGATTTTTATCTCTCTATAAAATTCCTATTTTAATAAATCTCTGCAAATAATATTTTAGCCTGTATTTATTTAAACTGAATTCATTATAATTTTTAAGAAAGTGATATTAAACATAGATAAAATTTCAACATACAATAAAATAACATATAGAGTTATTGATTGATAAAATCCTTTAGAATTTTCACATTTAAAACTTCTAACATTATGACATAATAATTATTAATCATTGGGGTAAGGAACAGAATCGTGATTGATATAGGGAACACTTTGGAGGAAACATTTTGCAAATGTGGCAAGGCCATGACCAGAACTTGGACCCAGGTTTTCCTGGTTTCAAGGCAGTTTAGTAACTCACTAGGACATTCTGCTTCTCAATAATCATGATAGCAATATTATTAATGTGATTAATAGCCTTTTTTAGGTCATAATTTCTCAAAACATAATAATATCCATGCACTTGAGATGTTTCAGTCAATAAAGGAAATTGATATTTTGTTGTTATAAAAGCTATGGCAAAAAACTGTTGCACACAAATAAGATACTTATAAAACAGCAAAATTTATAGCTCTGAGACAAAATAGAGACTCCTTTATGGAACTATAGCCAATCCTAACATTTTCAGGTTTAAATGTTTGTTTCAGTGTACTATCACAAGATAAATCTATTAACCATTCTTTGGATGGACTAAGAACAAATATATCATATTTATCCATGGCAAATGGATTCCTTATTCATTTATACTTTGAAATATCCAGGTCTTTAAAATAAAATAACAATTGCTTTTGTGGAATGATCAAGTGATTAACAAACATCACTAATTTCTTCTATTTAGTTTGTAGGGCAGGCTTTTAAAAACTGACAAATAAAGTATTTTGTAATTTTAAAAATTCTGTTCTTAAACTTTTTAAAAAATTCACTTTATTTGTACTACTCAGCTCTTTCTAGAATATCCAATAAATATGCAAATTTAGAGAATGAATTTTTGTTATAAAGGGACTTGTTTCATCTTTGATATCATCAAGAAAAATAGTAGTTTCTTCTTTTAGCTCAAGGTACTTTATCATGAGAAAGCCAGCATTTTTTTTTATAATGAAGAAGTACCCTATGCTTTGTGCCTATATTGTTCCACAATGTTGTGAAGAACTTTCCTTTTAATGGACTTAAAATAAGTTAATCAACTTCTAACAACTTGAAAAGCAGTATGCAGTTTGTCATTCACATGTCTCCACACAAGTGATCATGCATCATGCAATATGTACAAATTAATTAAATTAATGTTGGCAGATCTGAGCTTTGTCCTGATATTGATTGAATTCCATCAATGCAGAGTCCAATAGAATTCTTCCACTTTAAATAATTTTCATTAAAAAAATCCATCAATTACATTGAAAATGTCACTTGATGTGTCATTGCTATTGTTATGCAGTCCTGTCCAGCTCTATCCACAGCACCACCTAGTGGTTATTATGGCAAGGATTATGAGGTCTGGCTGCCTCAGGTTAGCCTTCAATCCTTCAGCTTTGTTACCATATTCATTGCTGTTATCATATAGAAGAATATTTGGACTTTTAAAAATTAGTAATTACATCTACCTCATAAATCAGCTAAGCTCAGGGGCTCTATTCCATTTCATTAAATATTCATTTAATAAACTGAAAAGACTTGCTTTCCCAATAATACTCAACTCCATCTCCATTTCTATCTCTCTCACCTTCTTTCTCTCCTCTCTCTCTCTCTCTCTCTCTCTCTCTCTCTCTCTCTCTCTCTCTCTCACACACACACACACACACACACACACACGGTATATGGGGTATTCAGGAGGACTAGCACTTCTGGTGTAGTGGTTCTCTGAGTCCTTTTCAGGGATGCTTTCACCCAACTCTCATCTGTGGCTCCAAGAAGCTATAGCATGCACAGTGGCCACATCCCAGTAGAACATATTGACAGACAGGCTAAACCAGGTTAAGGGTAACTGACAGGCCTCAAACCTGTCAAGAAGTTAGAGGGTTGTCTACCCCAAGCATGTGAGGACTGCCCCTGGTGGAATGGGTGGATGAAAATTTGTTCCGAAGGCTATGAAGGTGACTGAAGCAGGTTGTGTGGACTGCTTAGCGCTTGGTCAGGCATCGAAGATACCAAGATCATCCATTGTATCCTGGGCCATTGCCAGTAGTCTCCACATTTGTCCTGCCACTGGACTTTGATGACTTAGAAAGAGGGAATGAGGCTGTTGACTGCAACTCTGCTTCACTTAAATCCAATTCATAGGCAAGTCAAGACATCATGTCATGATGTCATTGATCCTCTTTGAAAACTGACAAACAACAACAACAACAATACATATCTATATATAAATCTCCTATGGTTAATTCAATATTAAAGTTCCTATTACACAGTTTATTAAAAATTAATTCTTAATAATAAAGGCATAATCATTTATAGTATTTTAGCTATGAAAAAAATGACAACCAGAGTCACCTCTCACCACAACTATAACTGTGCATGATTCCTTACATCTGAAGACAAGTCCACTATTCAATTTACTTAATATGTTGAGCAAAGTCTCTTCTCAAGAATTTATCTTTCTTGAAAGATAAAGGTTAAGACAGTTGCATCAGGAAAAGGCCTCTATATTCTCTTTCTTTCTGTCTTCTATAGTTTCTGTTGTGTCATGACAGGAAAAGAGTCTCTTTAACTTCTCTGAAGCTATCGCTTTGAACAATCTCCTCAACTTTCAATTAAAATGGCCATTTTCACAACATTACAATTTCCTCTTGCCAATTATAGTAACTTAACTATAACTATTGTAGGAGAAGCTTTTGAAACAGGAGTTGAATTTCTCCCCATGACCAAAACATTTCTAGTCCTCTGAAAATCATTCATGGGTATATAAAATCCATTTCAATATCATATTAATATTAATAAAACTAATATCTTATATAAAATACTAATGCAAAGTATCTCTTGATAAGTTGCTTTAAATAAGAAGAAAAAAGTACAGCATGAACAAAGGCAACAATAACATCTAAATAGAATTTTATACAATGTAATGCATAATAATAATGGTAAAATAGAACAATAATGAATACACATATCACTACATTTGCACATCAAAATGTCCAAAA